GCAGTGTCTGGGCCCTGTGTTGTGCTCTGGGCCCTGACGCAGTGTCTGGGCCCTGTGTTGCGCTCTGTGCCCTGAAGCAGTGTCTGAACCCTGTGTTGTGTCTTTTCAGGGTGATAAAGGGGAGGCAGGAAGCCCTGGGAGAGATGTGAGTGTTATCCGGTGACAGACTGCCCTCTCCCTCCATTTCTCTTTCTCAGCACTGTGGTCAGTCTCTCCTCCACTCCTGATCTTGGTCACTTTATTCCTCACGCATGTCTTCTCTCTCTGCTTAAGAATGATTCATTCTCCCTCTGCCTTTATCAGATGGTCTTCCTTTCTCTTTACTACTTTGCTGTTTTGCTCTTTTCCTTTCTGCAGATTATAATCCCTGTGCTACCCACTCTCTCCCATCTCTCTCTCTTCCATCATGTCTCTCTCTCTGTTTCTTTCTCCACTCTTTCCTGTCTCTCTCCACTCTTTCTCCACTCCCTCCTGTCCTGTCTCTCTCCCCTCCCCTCTCTCCGCTCTCTCCTGTCTCTCCTCTCTCTCTCAGGTGTGCAGGCTGTGATCAGTGTCTTTGTTTCAGGGTCGGGACGGGGTGAAAGGAGAAAGGGGGGAGGTGGGGCCTGCAGGTCCTCCGGGCTCCTCTGGTCTCCCTGGAGTCCCTGGCAATCCTGGACCTCCCGGACAGGTAAGTCTCTGCTCTCTGCCCATCGTCCCTGTGCCTCAAGTCTCTCTGTCCATCTCTTCCTGCCTGCTGCCCCGCAAATCTCTCTCCTTACTTGTCTGTTTCTTCTCTCTCTCCCTGCCCCTTTTTGTCTCCTAATTGAGTGAGAGATCTAAGCGCAGTTAACGAGCCTGTCTGTGAAGGTGTCACTGTTGTCCTTTCCTCTGTCTCCCCCTGTAGACAGTCTATGTGAAAGGAGGGGAATCCACATCTATCCCAGGACCTCAGGGTCCTCCTGGCACTCCGGTGAGTCACCCAAAAAACTGTCGGCTCTCTGCAGCCCTTCATGAGGTTGCTGGATCAGATCCTTCGATCGATTAGACACGGAGAACGCGGACAAGCAAGGTGGACCGCACTGCTTTGCCTTCCTTGCTGTTTCCCTCCATCTCTTTCTCCGGCTCTGTCCTGAGCCTGTGTCTCATCCACTGTCCTCTTCTCTCTCCGTCCTGCAGGGAATCCCAGGAGTTCCTGGCACTGCCGGTCCCAGAGTAAGTCTGTGCCTGTGGGCACCCGCCTGTCACACGTTGAGTCCATTTCTCGGCAGTGCCTGCCTGTGACTGTGCTTCTCATGCAAGAGGAATGTTGGTTCAGTACATGTCCAGTGACGGCGCTGTGGCCAGGCCTGGCTGACGGGTGTCTCTGTGTTTTCAGGGTGAAAAGGGAGCCCCAGGTCCCAAGGGAGACGCGGTGAGTGTCTGTCCATCTGTCAGTCCTTTCTTAGCTCTTGACACTAGTCCCTACCTCTGCCATAGAGCTCCCAGCAGATACGGCTCTTCAAAGGCCTGGTCCGTGGTCAAGCAGGTGGGCAGTTTGCCTTTGAGCCCCCAGAGACAGTGCGTTGTGGTGTGTGTGGTGTGTGTGGTGTGTGGTGTCTCTGCCTGTGCCAGCTGCGGGGGGTGAGCCTCACACCTGCAGCAAGACAGATCTAATTTACTGTCTTGAACCTGTGCAATGAAATGCTTATTGCATGTATGCTTCAATACAAAAACATTAAAGGAATCACCAAAAACATAAACAACTGTGCCCCGTGTGCGCTGCGTTCTGTCGGCGAGGCCAGCGCTGCGGTCTTTGCTCACTGTCTGGATGCTTGTGCTCTGCAGGGGGACCCCGGTGAGGATGGGACACCTGGCCGGCCTGGGACACCAGTGGTAAGAGGAAATCCCTGATGCAGGGAAAACGGAAGGGGTGGGTGATTAAACAGACAGCATTGTCTTTTGTCAGTTTTCTGAGTCGGTTTTATTTCTGTTTTATTTCAGGATGTCAAAAAAGCCCTGTCTGAATATGGAATTGAGGTAGGTTCCTCTGTTTTAGGAGTTCCTGAAATAACTCTGTGGATCCAGAAGCCCCCAGACCGGCTTGCTAACCCAGCTGCTCTGCCACCATCTGTGTTAAAGCTGGCGTCTGTGATGGATTCTCCTTCATTCCAGATCCTGCATCTGAAGCTGGTGGTGGACGAGAAGGAGAAGTGGGAAGAGAGGGTGAAGGAAGCGGAGAAGGGGGCGAAGGGGGAGAAGGGCAACACAGGAGACAGAGGTCCTCCTGGGCCACAGGTTAGAGATGCGCCGATGCTCCGGCCGTGGTCAGTCCTCAGTGGTCCAGGTGCGTCCTCGAGCTGCTGACTGCAGGTCTCTACTCGTCGTCACTGCATTCCGATCCGTTCCGATCCCGCTGCAGTGCCAGGCCGACGGAGCCGGGTGTGCTCTGTGAGCGCCTCCTCTCCTGGACCTGCCCGACCCGTCCAGTCACAGCAGCGGACACTCGGATACGCGGACACTGCAGTAATGGTTCTGCACAGTCTCTCTCTCTGCCCTGCCAGTACAGTGTGCTCAAGAGCCCTGCAGCTGGTAAAACTCCTTTACTAGTCTTCTGTGAATGAATATACTGTATATAGAAAACTGCATACTGTCCAGCGCCTTCAGTGCAGGAGTGTTTTAGGGGCCAGATGAACTGGACTGATGGTTCTGTCTGTTGGAGATCAGGCTGGGCCAGACTGAGTGGTACTGATCCGATAGTCAGAGAGGTCAGGTGGAGATCAGGCTGGGCTGGACTGAGTGGTACTGATCAGGCAGGGCCGGGCTGAGTGGTACTGATCCACTGGTCAGAGAGGCCAGGTGGAGATCAGACCAGGCTTGCTGTCTGTGTTTCAGGGTCCTCGCGGTGACTTGGGAGAAAGAGGCCAGAAAGGGGAGGCAGGTGAGGCCGGGCCGGCTGGGCCACAGGGACCCCCAGGTCGTGCTATTGGGGAGCGTGGCCCAGAGGGGCCCCCAGGACAGGCAGGGGAGCCAGGCAAGCCAGGCATCCCTGGGGTCCCAGGACGGGCAGGGGAGCTGGGCGAGGCGGGGCGACCAGGCGACAAGGTGAGAGGGGAGCTGCTCTCCTCCTCTAAGTCTCCTGCTAACTTCAGCTCCTTTATATCCCCGAGATCTTCATTATTTTCTGAGTGACTTGGTAAAGACTGCAGTTCTTTATTTTCTACTACACATTTGTCCCTTTCTTCTGGGACTTTTTAATTTCTTCTGTCCTGCCGTCTGTCCTGCTTGTCTCCTCTCTCCCTCCTCTCTTGTTCCCCTTTTCTCTCTCCTCTCTGTCATCTGTTATCTGGTGTTTTTTGTTTGTCTGCCTCCTCTGTCTCAGTGCTGAGTGTGTATCCTCTCAGCTCTGTGTGTCTGTTCTCTCAGTCCTGTGTGTGTGTATTCTCTCAGTGCTGTGTGTGTATCCTCACAGTTCTGTGTGTAGATCCTTACAGCTCTGTGTGTGTGTATTCTCTCAGTGCTGTTTGTGTACCTCACAGCTCTCTGTGTGTGTGTGTACCTCACAGTTCTCTCTGTGTGTGTTCTCTCAGTGCTGAGTGTGTATCCTCACAGCTCTGTGTGTGTGTTCTCTCAGTGCTGTGTTGTGTATCCTCACAGCTCTGTGTGTGTGTGTTCTCTCAGTGCTGTGTGTGTATCCTCACAGCTCTGTGTGTGTGT